AGGCCCTGCATAAAGCAATGATTAGGAAGAAAACAGACCATGCAATCGAGTTCCCTAGTAACTCTAGGGACTAAAATCAAATTGAATTGCAACTGAGGGGCATATAGGATATCTTCAAGATAAAAATTATCAGAAAACTTAACACTTCCTATATGTGTTGCTATAACTCTATCTCCATTTGGGATTTTAATAGTTTTAGTTGGTCCCTTGTATTCAATAAAATTATCTAACAGTTTCAAATCACTTACAAAATGGGCAGTAGCACCTGAGTCAATGACCCATCTAACAGGTACATGAGAAAAAGAGGAAGATGTTGGAAATTGTGCCCTAGGGGCCAATCATTATGTTATGAACATTGTTGATTTATGAATTTATTAATTACGTTATCATATTATTTGCATGTTTACTGTGATGACTATCCTTGGATAACTCATGATTTATCCTAAATGTCCCTGGTCGGTCATCTATGTAGGAGCAGAGATGAAATAAGACCATTATGACTTTAAAGATATATAGAGATATAAATTAAAGTCATAGGCACATGTAAGAATACAAGGTGTTGGACCGACCCACTATGAGAGAGCTGCATGGGTTAAGTCATAAGCTTCTCTCATATACAAACCATGTCACTGTGCCCTTTGACCTGAGATCATCATGGATTCCTACATGAGAAACGCTCAGCTTTGACCTAGTCAAAAGTCACTTTTGACCGAGTGATCATAAAGACTATGTTCAGGCTTAGTGGTTTTTCATGCGGAGGAATGTGAATGGTCAAGATGGAATTTGTCCCTCACATTCGTAGAGAGATATTACTGGGCCCCTCGATGAGTGAGTCTGAGAAATGTATGGCCATACTATAATGGAAAGGTAGTTCCATTTCGATACTCAGACTACTCAGGGATCGAGAAAGTAACGGTCATAAATAGGAGGATGACATTCTCCATGCCTCATCTATGACCAAAATTTCGTGTGACAAAAGGGACGTGATATGGTTGTATGAAAGGTTACATCGTTCAATGATCCTCATATGATTTGGGTAGTCGTGATGTCTTGCTAGAGACCGCTTACGACTTATGAGTCATTATAGTTAATGGCCCACTGCCAACTTCATATGGGCCTACAGGGTCGCACATAAAATAGCCCAACACGAGTTATGATGTCCAGATTCATTGAATCTAAGATATGTCCAGATTCAATGAATAATATAGGGTGGACGTGTATATATATATATAAATTCGTATATATATACATATTATATAAATATAAGAGATATTGATTGTTAGATTTAATTTATAAGGATAAATTAAATCTATATAAATTAATTCCGTCATATCTTTATTTTGAATTAAACAAATAAGTGAATTAAATCTGTGAGACGGATTTAATATAAACCATATTTATTTAATTGTTCTCTTATCTGATTAGGCAATATTTGATATTGTATTAATTTCTGAATTAATTTAGGATTAATTTCGAAATTAAATATGCAACACCTCACTTTTATATACTAATAGGATCATTTTAACGTTTGTGAATCACTAACGCCAGGTTTCCGTCCTGGGAAAAGACAGGGAATTTTTTTTTCTTTAACATTGGAATCCGTTGATCAAATGTTTCAAACCTTCAGATAACAGATTAGTGATCCAATATCAACCCTGCTTTCAACTCAATCTATTATCACCTAAAATAATTTCATACTATACAATCTTAAATATTATATTAAAAATAAAGCAACGCTCTTGGTTGACAGCATATACGTGCACCTGGCAATGCTCACCTCCTTCTTCTAAAGGATACAAAATAATATTTCCATAAAGCAAGTAAAGTTACTTGCCCGAATATTTTACTATACAATTTACAGAATTATAACAGGTATCTCTGCTCTTCAATCAGCCCACCTTCTTCTTAAACAACCTCCTTGTCCTTCGGGCTACTAGCTTTCACTGTTCATCATAAATTGGAGGGTGAGATTCCGAAGAATTCCCGTAGTAGTAATTTCCATCAAACAAATGTGCAGATCACATAAAGCATGCAAAACAAGCCAAAGTAGAACATAACCTTGCAAGCTAATGCAATTAAGCATTTATGCACAATGACAGATAGAAAAGCTAAATAAATAATGTGCAAATACATGGCAATCACTGCCCCATGTCTATTAGACAAGCTGAATAAATAATGCGCTAATAATTGGCAATCACTGCCGCGCATATAATTGGCAATCACTGCCGCGCATATAATTGGCAATCACTAATTGGCAATCACTGCCGCGCATATAATTGGCAATCACTGCCCCATGTTTATCAGCTGCACGTGGTCACGGCTAAAAATCCATGCAAGGAATTAAGGATTACATGTTCTCATGCTTTAGAAAAGTAATATGGCACAAACAGACATGCAGCAATCATACACAAGTGTAAGGTAGGAAAGAACTACTACCTGGTCCGCATCCCTCCAAATCAAACCTTACCGTTCTCCTTTCTTTCTGCTTCTTGGTGGGCTTTTGCAGATATCAAAACCTATCATATTGGTAAGGATAGATTAACGCTTGATCCAACTGTAAATTCATAAATTAAATAGCTCACTTAACGTCCTAGATCTTCTTCAATCTCTACCCTTACTTAGTAGTTGGTCATTCTGAACAATTTTCTTATTTAATACATTTACTGTGGGGGGTTTCTCTCTTTATCTCAGCCCAAACAGTTACTTTTCTTAGTAACTGGTCATCTTGGTCAAATATACTATTTTTATCTATTATATTTGAAGGCAAAATAATGAGTTCCCTTCACTTAATTATTCTAATCTCTTAGATCCCAAGTTAAACTTCCTCAAGCAAATATCTAACTTTAAGATTATTCGGCGACCAAACAGCCATTAACTTTAATTCTCACTCAATCCTTCAATCTTTAAAACTTCCCATTATATCTATTCTATTACCACTAGTCTATTTCCTTACTTCTCCATATCTTAAGTTCATGAAAATCACTTCACATTTTATTAATTCATTTCTAACTTCAAACATCTACCCATTTAATTCCTTCAAACTTTAACATTCCTCCTCAATTACCTTTCCTTCCATTATAATCCCACGGCCCTTATATATAAAATATAACCACTGTAAATTCCCACGTAAGTCATATATTACTATATATTGTGAGACTATATACATATATATACATCAATTCAGTCTCCTCTCCAAACCAGTCATCATCTAACCATTGATTATTTCCCCTAGCTCCATGAATTCAAGTCTCACAACAGCAACAAACACACACATGTACCGAAACTATATACATATATGTCAGTTCGGTCTCCTCTCAACCAGTGAACCCAACGCCACTTAACTCTGTAAATTCAGTTCCCACAAACTTGACCGAGGCGCACATAGACAAACGTGTATCATTTTCTTTCCTATCTCATAACCAACAAAAACCAGAAACTTTCCAACCTTTAGAGCTTGTCTCGGCTTACCAGAATCAGGGGTCATGAACTTAGAAACTTCACGCACAATAAAGCTAGACGACATGCAATCCCAGAACAAACCTATATACCCCATTCATATAACATCCAACCACCAAAAACCAGACATCATTATCTCAAGCTATTAGCTCCTGTGTTAGAAGCTAAGAACCACAACCGAAAACAACATGCGAGCACAAAACCCACTCCCCTGTCTCGGATTCAAGAAACAGAGCAACCTATCACATATAAACACCTTCATGATCCCGCAGCACATGCATATATCTATATATATATATATATAAATAAAAGAAGCGTCCTTCTCCTCCCTTTAACCTCTGTTTTCGGTTGACATAAACAGAGAAGAAAAATAGCACATGCAAGCTCAAAAACCAGCACCATATACTTCAATCGGCCATAAAAACACCAGCTCACTGAAACTTGTATCCTTTTACTCACTTTCTCTCACTAGAACCCAAACTTCTTTCATCATTAACTCTTCAAACACACAGCAAACCAAAGAACGAAGAGTAGAATGATGATCAGGGGGCTCACCTCAATCTGAAACTCCGTTTGCATGCAGGAATCTGGCCACCGATCACTACCTCCGATCACCAACTTCTTCCTCTCGGTCTTCCCCTCTCTCGAGTTCTCTCACTGTTGCGGATGGAAGGAAATGAAAGAATGCCACGGTGATCAGTTATGTAATGAAGAAGTGAATCAGGTGGCTAATGGAGAAGGAAGCACGTGTATTACATAGTTGCTGGACCATTTTGCCCTCCAAAATAATTATTTCTCCAATCTTATCCTTCTCCTATTTTTCTGAAATATAAGATATGTCCAGAAATTAAACAAAAATATCATAAATGGATTTTTATTATCCATTAGCTTCTTTGAACCATAAAATAATTTCCCTAAAATTTTCTAGTTAATTAGAAACCTCTAAGTATTTTCTAAGAAAATAACCCATTTTGCTATGAAAATAGCTTTAAAATCATTTAAGCCACTTTTCGGGGAATGAACTTTTCCAAAATATTTCTAAACCTTGAAAAATCAATATTCCATAATTTTTCCTAATTGATTGAGCTATTAAATAATTTTAATGAACTTTCTCTTTTCTGCTCATCCTGAGTCAGAAAATTCGGGATGTTACAAAATATCATTCATAATACCTATAGCATCCTATATATTTGATATTAGGAGCTAGGGTTTTGAGTGAGAGAGTGAAAACACTTGCAGATAAGAGACGGCCAAAATAGAGAAGGAGGATGGACTCTTTGAAAAACCCTAGACAGACAAAGAGGCGCTAGCACGTCGTTCGTGACTGGAGAGCTGTTCGTGTGGATACCAGTAGAGGAAGCCAACCGAAGTTGTCAACTTCAAACGACAAAGGAGGCGAGTAGAGGCATCCTGAATGGCGGAATCACCGAGCCACCAAAAAATCGAACGCCAAAGGTAATGCTTCTTACTACTTGACTTAAACACGATTGGTAGATCCAGGCAAGGGATTGAAATTCTTAAATTTATTTTCCGTTGCGCGTCTTTCAATTCCCTTCAGAAGATTCAGCCAGACCTATACCAGTAAGCTCATGAACTATTGTCTCAAAATCTTTCTTCACCAGTTTCAGGAGACGCTCATACTGCTCTAGAGTTAGGGAGGTTGTTACTGTATTGGCAGAGTGTGCATTCGAGTCACAATCACCTCCAGTATTCAGTCCAATCTGGCTTGCCATCTCTGTCTTGTTTATTTTTGTCTTGTTTCCTTTGAAATCTGGGGGATAACCAATTATCTGAAAATAATTTTCTTTCACATGCCCCTTCTTATGGCAATGTGAGCACTCCAGTGTTGTTCCTCCCCTTTCCCTGCCTCTGCCACACCCTCTTCCTTGTGCAACCATCATAATTCCTTTGGTTAGAGCATTTAAGGTTAAACCAGTGATCATTTTCTTAGCCTCATCTTCTAAAATCATAGCGTAGGCTTGTTTCACGGTGGGTAAGGGACTCATCATGAGAATCTGGCTCTGTCCTTGGGTATAGGTATCATTGAGCCCCATTAGGAATTGCAATAGTTTTTGTTGTTGCATTAGCTCTGCATAAACCTTTGAGGTCTCGCACTTGCACAAAGGGACTGGCACCAGGAAGGATTGTTCTTCCCAAAGCTCCTTTAATCTTGTATAGTAGCTTGAGACCGAGAGTGTTCCTTGTCGAAGGGAGGAAATTTCACGGTGGAGTGTAAAGACTCGGGATCCAGAAGCCTTATCGAAGCGCTCCTTCAAGTCGAGCCAGACCAGTCGTGCATCTTGAAAGAACACAGCTCCATTGGCTAGTTCCTTCGAAATCGAATTAAGGATCCATGAGAGCACTACCGCGTTACACTGCTCCCATTGATCCTTCAGATTATCTTCTTGGTTTTCCTTTACACACGATTCGTCCACGAATCCCAATTTATGTTTCCTGAGGAGAGCAATATGCATTGCTGGGCTCTATACATTGTAGTTCTCAACACCGGTGAGAACCTACGACACGATCGTTGCTCCCTATGTATCTGAGGGATGCAAGTACAGGGGATGGTTGAAATTCAGACTTCCAGCAGCCGAGTCACTGATCCCTTTCGATTCTTTCGATTTCCCCATTGCTGGGAACCCAATCTCGAGTGTGTGAGTGGTGCCGATGAGATGCGATGATCCACTCGTCGCAAGATCTGTTCCCCGTGATCTATTTCTGCTTCTAATTTCCACCGACCATGGTGGTTTCCCCCTACGGTTTCTTTCTGAAAATGGGAGGTGACAAGAATGACATCGTTCTTTCCTTTCTTTGCTTCGTGGACCTTCAGGGAACCTAGCTCATGATACCATGAAGACACACAAAGTAGGCCCTGAACCACTGAATAATTCTCATTGAACTAAATGAATATTCACAAGTACATAAGACAGAACGTGGCCCAACTACTTATAGACAAAAAGGATGCAAACTAAAGACAGACTATCCTAAGTGGGCCTTCGGCCTCACAGGCCCAATACAATCAAGTTTGTTCCTCATTAGCTTTAGGCACCAACCATTCAGCTGCCAAAGGGGTCACCAGCATAGAGGGCCGATAGCCGGCCTCTGGCAAGGTGCTTAGGTGGCATTAAAAGAAAGAAAAAGAAAAAGAATCTACGGGTAGTTTTATCTTTTGCCCCAAATATTGAAATGCCAATTTGATACTCTATCACCAATTTGTCAATTTAATAAAATACTTGAATTAGAATACCAAAACTTGAATGGAAAAAAAAAAAAGGGAGATAAGGTTTCTGTCTAATAAGTTTGGCGTTTTGGATATGCTAATTACAGGGCAGTTCACCATTTTTTTTGCTCATTAAACAATGGCAAAGTTCAATTTTTAATTTAGAGTTTGATATTTTCTACTCAATTTAATCATCATCCTACATGTGCATGAACTATAGTAAGAGAGTCGGTTCTCACCACCCACCTAGAAAGGATTAGAGGTTTCTGATCAATCTTGGTATTTTCATGGCGAATGACGGCCTATGTATCTCCTTTGTGGGTTCATTCTTTATTGTTGTTTCTGGGTCTTATCTCTTTCGACTTTTTTATTTTTATTTTTTTATTGTAGAAATATGAAATTTCCTCTGATTTTGCTTCCGACGATTGCCTATTCCTTAAAGTTGTTGATGTTCATCATGTACATGCATCAAAAGTTCAAAGCACTCATCCGTCTCTATTGGCAACCAGAAGTGATATCAAAATTATTCAACAGTTCAGGAATTATTTTGTAGTATTTTTCAAAGACTATCATGACCGGCTGATGATTTTAAGACAGGGTACTAAGATTATTCAAGGCTTAACACTTGCATGCTTTGCCTGGAAGCAAAATAGGCCTTTAGCTAAGCACTCTTTTAAAGCTATTCATGTATGGGTGCAAATTCTTGGCCTTCCTATGGATCATCACACAATGATTATTGCGTGGATGTTTAGTAATAGTATGGGATCTTTTTTGGAATATGACTGGTCCAGCTCATCTAGATCCGGGGGACTTTGCATCAAAATAGCTATTCCTAAACATCTATCATCTTTTCATCTTAATTCTCTCCATGTGCAATCTAGTAAGAAGTTAAGGCTTTTGTTCCTTCTTGAGCATGTTGGTTGTCTATATTGCTTTTGCAGCTCTACAAGCCATACTAATAGACAATGTACAAAAGTAGAGCACAAAAAATGCTTTGGCCCAAATCAGCTCAAATGTTTTTTTAATGGGAAGGGATATGTTTGTAAAAGAGAAGCAGGATTGATAATCCATTTCAATCCAATCCCTTTAGCTTCTTCTTATAGTCACTTTGGCAAAATAAAAGGCTCTATTTCTACTCAGAACAATAGGGATTGTTGGAAAAAGAGATGCCATTCTTGCGACTGCCCAACAACAAAAGAACTCTAGAGACTGCTTCTCTCTACAAACAGCCTAGAGTCGAGCATAATGATTCAACATCTAACCTTAATTCATCCTCATGTGGCTCTACCATTGTTAAGAAGCGTACCTTGAATTTCTTAAATTCGCCTCTCCTACCTATGAATAGGAAGCATAAGCATTATGAACAATCAACACCTGCAGCCTAGCACTATAAAAGGGCTAGACTTTCTTCAAAAGAATATGACTTTAATGCTCCAAGGTTTTTCAACATGACACATGTATTCTTAGAGGAGTTAACTCGTCGTGAGGATGATTTTGAAGCAGCCAAACTTGCTTTAGATGCTTTTTATACTTGGCAGGACAAAAGATCAATAAGTCCAAAATTTTTGTAGCGGTCTGCCATAAATCACTAAAGAGGTAAAACTAGTAGCGGTTATGCACAAAACCACTACTAGTTTCCAACAATTTGACTCGTGACACAAGATTTTTTGGTTTTTTGGTTTTCATCTGGAAATTATTTCACAAGAAAATTCCAATTACAAACATACTTAAGCACCATCATCTTGATGCCTTTACACTTTGTCCTTTTTGGTGTCCTGTAGAAGAATATTTTGAGCATATTGTTTGTTTGTGTTGTTATGCTAAAGCTAGTGAGCTGGTTTGGCTGCCTTTCAATCATATCTATTGAGATTTCAACATCGAGGATTCATAACTAGTTATTGGATACTTTTTGCTCTCTTTACAAGCAAAGTGACTTTGATTTGATTACAATCATTGTCGTTATCAATCTTATTTGGGGATGGCAAAATTTTGCATTCTATCAAAGATTTTATCCCAATCCATCCCACGTTGTAACTCAGTTTCATGGATATATGAACATTTTAGAGAATATTTGTCAATGGCCACAACATTATGTTTCTCGCTCTTTCAATCACCCTTCTATTCTACACAGTAATCTCCATCATTTATATTGGAAGATCGGTACGGTTTAAAAAGTACAAATAAAAAAGAGTTAAATACATCCAAGTTCTATTCCAACAAGGATGCTTCATGATTCATGGAATCACTTTGAAAAAGACTGTACACTTATCTGATCACTCGTGCGATCTTTTACTCAGGCATTCTTAGATATGCTCTTTCATGGGCATCAACTTATTCTTCTTCCTATCATCAACAGTGTCCTTCTCTAGCTGTTTTGTGCATTGGTTCTGAGTTTCTCGATCCAACAAGATTCTAGAGTACCTTGCAGAATGGCCTCATTTATGATGCGTTATCTTGACTCTTTACACACGCACACTTACTCATATATTCAAGCATGAATTTCGCTTTGGATAAGCTTTTGGTTAAATTTGGGAATGTTTTGATTAAGGGATAAGGTATTTAAATACCTCAAAAATATTCATGAAGTAGCATCCAGCACTTGTTTTTTTTTTTAATATCTTATATGCCCTTAAAGTTTATTTTTGTAGCAAAAATACTCTAGTTGTTATCTGTCATTTAGTTTGATTATTAAATTATGTAGTTTAACTAATGTCTTTAATAGTTAAACTGAATAGTGAATAACGATTCAGGATATAAATGCTATGAAATAAAACTTTCAAGGTATATAAGAGCTAAAAAAAATTTCACATGCTGGGTGATCCTTTGTCAATATTTTTCAGGTATTTAAGCACCTTATCTTTTTAGTTAATCATTATGCAGGGGAAAAAACAAAAGCCCCGGTGTTCTATCCTAATTTGCTACTCCCTTCCATCATATTTTGTAAAACGTTATCTATTAGTTCTGGTTATAATGGGTATAATTATATTTATGATAAAATCCAAGTGTTAAGATTTGATTGATTGTAATTATATTTATCATAATATTATATGTTATATTGTAATTTCAAAATTGGATATGAAACAATAATTTTTACATATTTATATTTTAACTGGTTTGGTAAAAATATCATTTTTTAATAGAATAGAGATTAATTACAAATGAAATAAATTTTAAAATTAAAAGAAATAATATTTTTGAACGCTAAAAATGTATCATTATAAATCTTTCTACTATATTTTAGAGAAGATTTTGACATTTGCGCTAATTTTTTAGGATAACTAATGATATAGATAGCAAAATCAAACTGTATTTTTTATCAAGTTATTCTATCAATTACTCCTCTGGTATTTAATATAAGACCTAATTATTAAGTTGATTTTGATCCTAAATATAAGATCAATTTCTTATATTTGTTAATTTTTTCTAAGTTACCCCTGTAGATACTCACTCAACCATAATCAAGTAGAAGAAGAGATATTAAAGAAGATGATTATGGTGTTTTAGGAAAAGCATATCATATTTCTTATAATTAACTAACTTACCTAACTTTCTTAATATAATCAAATTAGTTAAATAGGTCTTATATTAAGAACCGGATGAGTATATAATTTGCAAAAGAATCTAATTATTCAAAAACTTAACTATCTAGAATCTAATTATCCTATATGACAATCTCAAATTTTATTGTTTAATCATTCAAATTTCAAATATTTTCAACATATCACCCGAAAAAAATTACCCTCAACATTAGTTTGGTTAATAATCATAAATGAAAGTGTATGCATATAAATCCATTTGCCTATCCATGTGTTACAAATTTCAATATATTGTATAAATAATATGATTGCTTTTTTTGGCTATATTAGTTTTTATAAGAAAGTTATTAATATTGTTATCTTACTTGTCTAATCATCATTAATGATCAAGAGGAACTGATTTTCATGAAATATAAAACAAGTTTTCTGGAAAATCGCCATTTTGTCTTAGTAAATGTCTAATGATGAGATCAATGATAATGATGCCCTTATTAGCACCAAATACACAAATATATCCGTTGACTGCTTAATTAAAAATATATTTAAAATATTACATTATTAATTATGTCATTATATAAATTGTTGTAGGATTATAATATGAAATAATGAAATTTGAAATTAGCAATAAAATAGTGACATAATTAGCAACAAAAATATTCCGAGGCAAACAATATCTAGCGGTGGAAAATTTTTTTGGCTAAAAATTTTGTGACAAAAACTAGTGACATAATTAGTGATGAAAATTACCTATATATGGAAAGCTTTCATCGCTAGATATTTTGTAACAAAAATTAGTGACAAAATTAGCAATGAAAATACTGATGAAATTTAGCGGTGGAACACAATTCTATGACTAAGCCGTCAGCAAATTTAACAACAAAATTTTAATTGGTAATCCATTAGAAATTAATGATGGGATGTTTTTTTATCGCCAAGTGAATTGGTAATAAGAATTTGTTTTTATGTTGAAAGCATTTATTATTTATAGAAAAATGGCCCGTAGAAGAAGGATATTGAAAAACTAGTATAATTATACGGTGTTGATGGAATATTTAATAGGCATGAAAGTTTTGTTTTTTCATTGGTCAATGTGATTATTGAATCCATATAGGTTCATTAAATTGCTTCTACATTACGATATATATATATATATATATATATATATATCAGGGCCTTATTTGTTACAAGGTTTTTAGTAGTCATTTAGTGCAGGAAGATGAGTCATGATTATTCAAGGTGGTTGGTTAAAACTTAAAATGGTATTTTGGCCTATTGATAAGAATAAGAAATAACATTAGTTCATTGACATTTATTTATAATTTTTGGATTTTAATTGGTATTAATTTTTGTATAGTACTTATTTGTAATTTTTAGGCATTTTTCATAATCTTCTCGGTCAACTAATGATCAAAATAAAGAATGTTTAATGGAGGGGTAACATTGCACCTTATTAACATTTAAGATGTGACATTGCATCACTTGATAGTTTATAATACACAATAATCCTGAGAGAATAATTTAAGGAAAAATGCCCTTTAAGATAAGAAATAACATCAGTCCTCTAGTATTTATTTATAATTTTTAGTACTTGTTAATTGATATTAATTTTTTGATATGATGTACTTATTTATAATTATTTGGTGAGTTTTTTCGATAGTTTTTTTGTCAATTAATGATCAAAATAACATATATTTAATGGAGGGATAACATTGCATCATTTTAATACTTAAGGATGACATTACATCACTTGATAGTTTAGGATAGAATAATACTTACATCAAGTTCTTTATATCCATTATGTCAAGTTTTTCAATGACACATAACTATATTTAAATATTAGTATTTAATAATATTTAATTATAAATTCATATAAAACAAAATAGAATATTTGCTCATATGTAATTGGAGAACTTAATCTAATGAATATAAGGAACTTGATCTAAGTTTTTTTTCCTTTAGGATATAATATCTCTGAAAGAATAATTTAGGGGGAAATTGTATTCTTTAATTAACTCTTTGAATAGTACTAATCTTGCTTATCTCCTTCCTTAGTAAATGAGTACGATCCCGCATACGCACAAAATATACAAGTATCACTAGAGAAAAAAATGTGTATAAGTGATTGCACTTAAATCCAATTTGACAATTATGCATATAATTAGAGGTGGTAAAGCGGGTTAACCAATCACGCATGAAAATTCAAAGACTTTAACCGGTTAGACTTAACAAAATGTCAACCTGTCAAGATGCGGGGCCTAAGCTTAATTCATACAATAAAATCTAGTTATACTCAAATTGTTTTTATATTTTCATAAAGGTATATAACTAAATTAACCCAAAACTTGTAAACATGAATATATAATATATTTTATATGATTATTTTTATATTATCAATTTCCTAACAAACATAGTTATGTTTAAATTAACTGTAAAACAATAATTTTTGCTAAAAGTGAAAAATTGTAAACATAAAATGAAAATTTATATAAAAAAAAAAAAAAGTAGGCCAACTTGTCAGAGTTGGCATATGTAGATTGTAATAGCTTGCGCCCTAGTGAATTGGCGTTCCATCAACTCAAATCTACCATAATTAGTAGGTATTGGACTTGCAAGCGCACCCTAACAAGTTGGTGTTTTATCAAGTCAAATCTACCGCAAACTCGGAGGTATTAGACTTGCAAGCCTAACGACCCATATCATCGACCCTATATATAACATTAATTTGCACATTAAAATATTATTTAGGTACATCACACAATGTCTAAGTATTGAACAAGATACAGACACTAGATGAGAGCATGACGTGCTTATTCTCTGACCACAAGCGAACACATCGTATTCCAAATTTGCATCATATCCTTTATTCTCAATTAATCATTTTGGATTCTTATGGTATCAAGATAAGATTTTCCAGCGAGCTTGCGGGAGAGAAAACCTTTGACAAACTCAGCCACACCAATTGTTTTGAATAAAGCTGGCCTTTGTGGATTAATTAGGCTACGTGCTGGACCCATATCTCCATCCAACTTTGGGCTATAGAATGTTGCAATAGACATCCTTGTTTTCTCTGAGCTCACCATTGCTCTATGTTCTATGCTCTTGTAAATCCCATTTGTCACAACCTATACCCAAATTGCATCAACATATATATCCAAAACATATAATTAAACATCTTTGTTTATTTTCTATTGAATTCATTTTCCTATTTCATCTAAATCCAAAAGGATTTAAAAAAAACTCATATAAATAAGTAAATTAACATTCACCCATACAACGTGTACATCATGTTGTATCATGCATCTGAGAGTGTGTCTATTTTTTAAAAGTATCAGTGCAATATGGGATCCATCAACTTTATTCTAAAAGAGACTAAACTCTTGGCAAAAATTAACTATCAAATGATTGTATTCCCTCTAGCTAGTCTTAAATGCTCCCCAGTTCTAAATATAGTAGCTAGATAGCAAATTGTCTTTTATTTCAAATTTAATACCTTAATCTATTTTATCTTTCATATTTACTTTTTTTTAAAACTAATACCATGTTAATAAGGATATTTTAAAAGGATCATGTCACATTTGTTAAAATTAGGTAATTTATTTAGTTATCTTAATTAGTCAATGCAAATTAGGCAAGTAACTCTTACATTAAGGATCTCAGAAGTATACTACATGAGCTGGTTGAAGAATTTGCTTTGATCCTAGATGTAAAATCTAAATCCACTTGATCTTTACGTCAATATATATAATGTCCATAACACTATATAATTAAATATCTTTGTTTTCTGTTGAACTCAAGATCATTTGGGGGGGGGGGGAGCGAAAGTCCTTTTCCTATCCTATCATCAAAAATCCAAAAGGAATTTTTGACCAAAAAGAAAACAAGTCATATAAACAAGTAAACATTCACCCATATAACATGTGAATATCATGTGATATCATGCATTCTATATGAGTTTATGTCTATTTCTGAAAAGTATCAGTGCAGTATGCGATCAATTAATTTTTTTTTTTTTTGGTTTACTGCGATCAATTAATTTTATTATAAAAGAGGCTAAACTGATTCAGGAAAAATACTCTCAAATAATTGTAGTCCTTTTGGTCTTAAATGCTGGAGCTAGTTAAGAGGTTTCTTTTAATTCTAAATATAAAACATAAATCCGCTTTATCTAATTAATTTATAATTCTTTCCAAACTGTCTTATTGATTACATATACTAAAGAGAGTTGTTATCAATGGGGATAGTTTCTAATGCAATTGATCAAAAGGAGTATTATTTTGAAAACATCAACACATATTTATTATAAGTAACTAATTTAATTAATTTATTTAGGATATGTGAATTAGTTATCTCACTCATACAATTAGAATCTGATGGGGTATAAAAATTGATTACCTCCAACATATCACCAATGTTGACCACAAAAGCATTTGGGAGAAAAGTGACCGGCAACCAAATGCCATCCTTTTTTATTTGAAGGCATTGGTCAACTTGATTGACTTGAAGGAGGATGGTGAGACCAATTGTGTCTGAATGAGGACTCAAGCCATTCACAAGCTCTGGTTGAGGACATGGTGGATAATAGTTCATCCTCATAGACTGCCAACCTTCTTCAAATAGCTCTCTCATTTCTTTTTCCTCCATTCCCAGTGCTTCCACCATTTCCTCTAAAATCTTCAATGCTAGCTTTCTCATTTCTACACTATATGCCTCTAAGTCATCCCTGCAAGTATAGCCACCACACAATGTGTTCTAAATATCAATCATTTTTTAATTAACCTATATATAGATATAAAATCACTTATATATTAACTCATTACCACATATTATCTACATAAATTGGAAAATTGACAGAGGTTTTTCAAAAATCAATTTTAAAGTTCAAGAAATTATTGGTATATGGCTAAATTTTCAAAGAAGTTTTGCGCAGTTAGAGTAGAGAGAGGTAAATATTTATAACCTCAATCGCTGTCAATGTAATGCCTACCAGCTTAGAGAGAGAGAGAGAGAGATACTTGAATGGGAGAGGAAGGTTGGGGAAGAGGTGGGGCTTTCTCAAAGAAGGAGGATGAGTTATCATATAGAACATATCTGCCCAATCAAGCTTCTGCTCCTCGCTAACCACGAATGCTTGACCAAACCCTTTTAAGTCTTCCGGTGTTTGCCAAAATTTCTTCTTCTCTTCCATTGGAAGATTAAAGAACTCTTGTATTCCCTTTTTCATTCTCTCAACTATTGACTCTTCCACTCCATGGTTTATCACCTACGTCATCAATATCAATGGCAATATCAATTTTAAAAATTATAACAAGTCTTGCATAGTATTGTTACTCATTTTCCAAGCTGTCCATTGCCTTCAGATAAAAAAGGATGGCATTTGGTGCCTTAATGATGGGTGAAAGAATAATTTGCTTTATTAATTAGCAAGATTGTCATTATTGAAATTACAATATTCTTCGTTTCTTCTCCAAATTCATAGAACAAAAAGTAACAAAACACACCAAAATGATCCTTTGATTTTTTTTCAAGAACAAATTTTAACCTTTTTCTAGAACAAGTAACCAAAAACACATTTTTATTTTTTTTTATTTTTAAAAAAATTATAAAGACAAGAAACCAATGAGGCCCTAAATTGCTTTAGATTACCACCCTAATGATTGCACAAATTACTTAAGAAACTTCGGTTCATTTGATATGAAGTATTCAAAATGAGAGGTAAGGATTGAGAAAACCCATTAAAAGAGTTTTTAATATGAGGAATTACTTGTTACTTGGGATTGGATAAATCCATGTAACTAGCTAAGATTGGGGAATACCATGAGGGGGTTTGCCTAATCTGAAGTAACAAGCAATCCATCATGCTAAATGCTCTTTTAATAGGCTCTCTCAATCCCAATCTCAATCTCAATCCTTATTTGTCATTCTCAATACTTCATACCAAGCAAGACCTTTGTACTACTCTCATAGTAGGAGACTAACTTTCATATTCACACTCTTTTTCTAGAAAAGAATTGTGTTCTATAGATGTGCTATATAAGGCTTCTGCATAGCCTCTCAAACAACACTACTACAAAAATATCCATTTTCATTCTCTATAGAAGAAAAAGGTCCTATATTCGTTTGACTTAACCTAACAGATGATTATATGTCCATATACTTGTTTGGTTAGTCAAGCCATATGAGTATATGCCTCATATACTCATCTGGTCACATGACAAGACAAGTATATTGTCTGGTCTCATATATGAGATGAGTATAGAGCCCCACACTGTTGCCCAAATAGATGAGTATGGGGCCCTTGAACAAATGAATATGGGGCCACATATTTGTCTATTCTAACTGCTATTTACATCTTCTTTGTTCATGTTCCCCTTAAATAGATGAAAAAAGGACTCTAGAACAAATGAAAATAGACCTTTTTGTAGTAGTGCAAATATTTTTCTCAACCAAACCTATATGATATCTTAGAATGATAGACCATAATTTACCTCCCATGAAAAATTGAAATTCAGCAAATTCTAAAATAATATAAATTACCTTCAGCCAAACCTATTTGATATCTCAGAATGATAAAACATAATTTACCTCCCATAATAAATTGAAATTCAGAAAATTCTAAAATGATATAAATTACCTTCAACCAGACCTATTTGATTTCTCATAATGATAAAACATAATTTACCTCCTATAAAAAATTGAAATTCAGCACATTCTAAAATAATATAAATTACCTTAAACTAATTAATTTCAATCATTTTAAAATTAAAATTCAACTATAAGATTCTCAAAGTTAAAGGTCTATCCTTTGACAAGCAGAAAATACTTCTAAAAATGAATAAGGATAATTTGGCATCTAGAACAAAGGTTTTGCAAAAGACGTCTGTAAGTGTGGGTGAGTGCGAGTGTGTGTGTGTGTTAGGGGGGGCAGGGAGGGAGAGGGGGAAGAGGGGAGAGGGAGAAGCAGTGAGAGCGAGAGAGTGAGGGGAGGGGGGAGAGAAATATAGAGAGAGGGAGAGCGGGGGGGGGGGGAGACAGAGCACAAAAGAGTGAGGAATAGAGCGAGAGTGAGAGAGTAAAGGAGAGAAAGGGATAGACTAGAGCGAGAGTGAGAGAGTGAAGGAGAAAGGTATAGACTAGAGAGAGAGCAAGAGATTAAGGGGAAGAGAGAGATAGAATGAAAGCAAGAGAGTGAGGGAGGGGAGGAGGAGGGAGAGAGCCAGATGTCAGGAGAAGAGAGAGATAGAGCTAAGGAGAGAGAGGGAGATGGGTAAACAGATTAAGATATAACATAAAGAGACCTGAAAGAAGCCCCAGTCTCGAGATGCAAAGTGAAGTCTTTGAAGCTCAGAGGCCTTGAAATTTGGAGAAGATAACTTGGAGAGATCGATTATAGGAACTTGAAGAGAATAATTGTCGGTATTGTCTAGAGATAAAGAATCATGTTCATGATGATCACAACGCACATATCTTTCAGGAACTTTGCTTAAACCCTCCTTCGTTAATTCCTGAACTGAAGGTACCAGAAGTGATCTTCCCAACTTCATTACTCTTTCTTTTCCTTCCATATTCTCACTCTTGACACCGACACAAATCAGAGCTTTTGGCCATTATATCTCATTATTTCCTATTTCGTATAGATGCATGCTCGTGTGTGTATGTGCGTCTTTTTCTGAATAAAACTTACAATCAAAATATCAATAAAATCAGATGTTGACTAGTGATAATTATACAGTGAACTGGCAATAACATCCACATATCGTTGCTGCAATGAAATGGAATCTCATCCACAAATGCAAAAATGGATTCGCAATCATTGGTGCATTATCCTCATTATTTGCCTTTTTATCTTCTTTTTTTTGTGAATCGTAATGTGCATCAAAATTCCTTTTGTTACATACATATATATATATATATATTATTATTACGATATCAGAAAATAGTTCTCTTACGATAATGCGCATAATGCTATCATAGAGTGAAAAAATTGAACGAACATTTTTTAGTGCAAGTTTGTTTTCTTTTAAGTTTTATTGTTGACATGCAATAAAAGTAATTGTCACATCTCAAAAATTTTCATTTGGCAATAAAGAATAAAAAAAATTAGGATGAGAATCAATGTAGAAACTAAACGGGGAGATGAAACAACTTTTGATATGAAACTTTTAAAAGGTCCGAACTGGCATTTTCGTAATTATTAGTCTAGGAAGGGTAAAACGGGAAAATTTGAGAAAAATTCCAAAAAATCCCTAAAAAATAGAAAAATTATAGAGTAGAGGTTTTGAAAACTTGGTTGAGGCCCAAAAGGTGGAATTTCGGTGAAAGTGAATTATTACGGAATTTCCCATAAACAAAGGTTTTTCGGGAAATTATTAGGGAAATAAAGAAAAATAATTATTTTAATAAGTTAGAGGCATCAATAAATTTGGGAGATTGATGAAAAATTCATCTAAATATGTTTTTGAATTTATAAAATTGGTTTTAGGCCTTGGAGGCTCAGGAATTAATTTTAGGGAATTTATTTTCCCTCAGATTCACTGATAAAGGCCTAATCGGAGAAAATTCAAAATAAATATGTAGAGGTGGTGAAAAATTCTGAAAATTTCTAGATCATGCTCCCATATTAAAATGTGAATTATTATGGAGAGAAATGAATTTTTGGAGGTCTTGAAAAATTATGGAATGTTACTAGTGAATAGTAACCGATAAAGTTTCAAATCGGTTTAAGATAGTGATTTGGTTTGTAGGCCATATTTTTGGGCCAACCCAAACCATTTTTTGGGCCCAAAATAGACCCATTAAAGGCTCAATTTCGTGTACTTTCCAGATTTCACTATTTTTATTAAATAAAATGCAAAATTAAGAGATATTTGCTTGGAAAAATCTAGAGAAATGCCACATGGAGTGATCTGAATATTTTGGACACTTGATGGCTGCCACATACACCTCCTTAAGTGTCCAATTTCGTGAAAATCATGAGGGAGAGGGCAGACTTGAATTTTTCTATAAATACCCCTTGAAAATACAAGAAAAATGTTAGAAAAGTAGGAAAAACAAGGTGAAACTCTGTCACTCTTCATCCAGCCACCCTTGCATGAAATTTTGAGGTGTTTTAGGCAAGAGATCATCCAAATTACTTCAAGAAAACACTAAGGTATGTCCAATCATTAATATCTCTAAGTTTTATATTGATTAAACAAGGATTTTTGCCTGAAAAAATGCTGAAAATCCTGCCAAAATTTAATTTGGATGTGTGATGATTAGGGAAGGATAGAAACCTTAATAATCAAGTGGAATAAGGAAGATTAAATTGTGTATGGATTGATTTTTGGATGAAAACAAAGTTAGGGTTTAAGGGAAGGAATTTTGTTCAGCACTGTTCATATGGAAGCAATTTAATTTTGCTTGATTTGGTAATTCCAATGGCTTTAAAACATGTTTTTGTGTAGGGATATAATGTTGGAAAGCGTTTAAAATCATTGGAATCAAAAATAGAATTTTGGAAGCATATAGCCCCCTATTCAGCCAAGAGGAGTTCATGGGGAAGGAGTTTGAATTTTAAAGATCTGATTGCACCATTGGATTCCCCATGAAAAATGTGTAGGAATGAGTCATGAGATGGTTGATTCTAAAGGAAGAATCAATTTGTAAAAAATCAAAGACAAAAGGGGGGAAATTGTTAAGTAATGTTAAAGTGTTAAAACCAAGTTGTTTTGTGATTAATATGGCCTATGTTTATATTTGGTTTAATAGGCATTGAGAGGAGGAATTAAGGAGAAGCATTGCTCCTTGGAGGAATTAATTGGACAAGCTTCACAAAGGTAGCTTTGAATTATAATTTAATTATTTATCTTGCTTGTTTGTTGTGATTGTTGTTTCTTGGATTGGAGGAAGTTTGTGGTGACCTTGATTGTTTGATTGACATTAGTTATGTTTTGGCCAAATACTTTGTGGTATGTCAATATGAATCATATGATGTTCCCCTCCTTGCATGATATTTGGTATGAATTCCTATGAGTTTGGAATGGTTTGGATTGCATGACATGCCACAATTAAACTTGTATGGATTTACATGATAATTATAATTCATATGCTACTCAGATTTCTTTGAAATCTCATTCCTCCTATGTCATTTTATGCACTAATTAGAAAGTGGACCAAGCATGAATCAAGGCAAGGAATTGGTATTGGGATAGTGGAGCAATATGTAATTAATGTTGTTATTGTTTATACACTTTGACGAATTTTCTGGAATTATTCTGGATTGAATTGGACTAATGATTATTTTTTCTCCATAGAACTCTTAGCAAGCTTCATGTGAAAATTAGAACCACTTCGTTTTGATTTATCTAGATTTAGTTATGAATTTTCAAAGGCCTATTTTGATATAAATAGTGTACGGACAAGATGAACAGTGAAATCCTGAAATTCAAAACTTTTCATTCGGAAACATTACGAAATGACTTATACTGGTTCCAATTGACATATAATGGATTATAAAGAGAGGTGTGACAATAATCATGTTACAACAGCGAGGGAATAAATATATATATATAGTAAAATACACTAAGCACCCTTCTATTTTATTCAATTTCAAAAACCTCCTCTTTATTTTAAAAACATATGCAAATCTCCCTTAAAATTGAAACATATGTTACACAAACCTTCCTCCTATATGTAAGATTTTATTTCCATCCACTCAAATGGTTAGTTGACCGTTAAGTTTTGAATTTAAATTAATTTTTTGACCAAAATACCCTTTTTAATGTAATAATGTTTCAGACATTATATTTTCCAAGAAAATGTTTTTATAAAATGAAAAACAATTCTAATACATATATTTTTAAATTTTCTAATATATTCTAAAATTTATTAATTTTTATTTAAATGATAGATTTTATAATTTTAATTTTTTATTACATTCATTAGAGATTATTTACTTTGATTTCTTTTAAATTGTAAAAAAATATTTCAAATACGTAGCTTTTCTTTATTGTAAATTTAAATGATATAAGTTTGAAAGATTTTATAAATTATTTAAATTTATAATTCAAAATTTTAAACATATCTTTGTTACAAAAATTTATAAACATATTTAGTCAAGTATATATATTTATTTAAAAATTAGTTAAATTTTTAATCAAGCCTTTTATATTTCATGTAATTGTAAGAATATAATTTAGGAATTTATTAGAATGAGGGGAGAAATAGTAAGTAAAAAAAAATTTCAATATAAATTTCAGTTAAAAATAATATTTTTAGAATTTTTTTAGAATATTCTTAACAGTGTTAACTGATTGGATTAAACCGGATGTTTCTGAAATAGAGAGAAAGTATGCATAATTGATGCAAACTAGAAGGTTGTTAGAGTATTTCACTCAAATATATATATATATATATATAACTTGTATATTATTCGTTTATAAATCTCAATATCCGTAGAATTGTGGCCATCAATATTGTAGTCATGAACTTCATACAACACGAGAGCTATACTCTAAAATATTTCTGTCTAAAGCAATATATATTAGTCATCTTTTAGCTAAACTTTTTAATTAGGAACCAACTGATATTAAATTGAACTTTTAAGACCTAACTGTCAATTCTCCTAAAGATTAAAAATTCAGTCTTATGAAATTTTTTGAAAGGGTGAGAGAGGGAAAAGGCAATGTCGCTAGAGCTAAGCCAAACCTTGCTTTGCATGGAAATTGGCGTCCCACAGATATGCACCATCCAAATGGTATTTAACATAGTTTTGATTTACTTTCATTTTATCATCACATTTTTTATTGTTTTTATTTCAATATAGATATAAAATTTAAAATAAAAATAATAACTTAGATTTCACTTTCCAAAAAAGTGTATTGTTTAAAAATTGAATATTATAAATTTTAAATATGAATCCTTCAAATTTTATTATTGTACTGAGCATCATATCTTCATGGTTAGAGAAGCATAGAATTAAAGCAGATGGGCGGTTTCGTCTTTATAATATAACTCAGAATATCATTAAATCACTTTAAATTTGAAATTAATTTTTATCGGATCGGGAGCATCAAAGTTAAATACCAAATTTTTAAAGTAAAAGCTTAATAAACAACTTTTGAACATTTCCTTGCTAAAGCACAGGTATCCTCCTATTGGAGGCAATATTATTCGAGGCACTGTCGAGTACTAAATGTGGACACCTCTCACAATGGGAATTCAAATATTAGTTCGTCACGTTGTGAGAGATTAACCTCTTCTGTTAGACCCAACTTCTGTTGGAAACTTTTGAACTTTTTATCTTTGAATCTTAGAACAAATAATTGGGCAAACATTGGGGTCCATGGGCTTTTGCAATAGACCAATTTCAAAAGCCCAATTATAAACATTTGACTTATTTCGTAGTGTTTACTGAACATGATGGAACCAGTCCCGAGTGACGTCCCAGAAAAGGACAAGAGACAGTCCTGTCTTGGTCCCAATTGGAATGAGGCTGGGACGTCCTGCCAAATTTAAAAGAAGGGAAAATTACACTCAGGTCCCACAGAGTACAATTAATATCAAAAAGGTCCCACGAAATCGCGAAATGATTCTGAAGTCCTCAGGGACC